TTCGCAGCGGCGAGGGGCTCAGGGTGTGCGGTGGGGGCTGAGGCCCTCTCCCCCGCCGGGAGGAGCCTCGCGGGGCGAGCAGGGGGGCAGCCGTCCTTAAAGCTGCTGCAGTTGCCCCCTCGGCCTCTGAGGGACCAGGTGGGTGTGCACATCCCCTCTGTGCCAGGGTGGGCAGGGTGAGGCCCCAGGCGCTGGGCAGCAGGGGTTGTGCCCCGTGGGGAGGGCTCTCTGTGCTAACCCCCGGTCAGGTGAAGGTGCTATGCTGTGATCTGAAAAGGATGGTTTGGTCCCGGGCGTGTGGGAGAGCAGCCCCCTGTTTTCCTTTCCACGCTGGCTGTGACTTGGGGGTGGCCGAGTGAAGCACCCAGGCAGTACTTTGCGGGTGGGGGGGTGCAGGGGCACTGTCTGGGGGTTTCGACAGCAGATATCTCCAGAGCAGTTCTCTGGGTGCTCTGGGGCTGTGTGTGCATCTGAAATGCTGGGCTCTGCATCTGAAACTGATTGAAATAAACTGGCTGCAGTCCCGGGGCCAACAGCTCTGACTCTGCTCCGGTTCTTTCATGGTTTCTTGGTGTCTTGTCATCTTGCTTAAAAAAAACAAGCCTGAAACACCTGATTTCTCTTACTCATCTTCTTGGGTGCCATTTGCTGTCTGGAGAGTAGTAGGGCTGCTTGTTTTATTTCTTTTGGCTTGCTGAGGAGCTTTTTGAACTGTTAGTTTTAGAACTGACAGGTAGTGTAGAGATAAGAAAGGTAGATATGTTTGAGTTCAGCACAGATATTTCTCTCTAAAGGAGACTGCTAAGGCCTTGGTCTCACATGCTGGCAAAAAAAAAGGTATGAAATTCAACTGCTCATTTGCTTTAATTCTTAGCATTAACAAGTTGAGTTTCGGAGCTATATTACATTGCTGGGAATGACCACACAAAATAGCAGACTTCAGCTGTATGTTACTGAGCCTGTCTCTAAGGCCTGACTGGCCACTGGTGAGAACTAGAAGGTGGTTATTTGTGGTGGCTTGCTTTTGAACCTTTACATTTTGTTTTTGGAGGCCAGTGACCATGAGGTCTCTCATCTCAACAGCAGCGTTTTGGATTAATCAGCAGCCAGCCTGTTTTCTTACAGTTGAAGTAACGCTTCCAACTACCCCACTCTCCCTGAATAATGAGTGATACAACCACTCCAGCACCTAGATGGGCTGGCTTGCTGCTGCCACTTTGCTCTGTGTCAGGCTGCATTTTCACTGCGTCGTTTGCCATAGAAATTTCTGGCTGTGTGTCTCTGGCTTGCAGGAGGAGTTAGAGCCCTGTGGCTTGTTTTATTTTTCACCCCATAATGAAAAATAAGATCCTTGCTGGGACAACTCAGCAACTCGGTATATGGGTAATGGGATATGGAGCTTTCCAACTGTGTTCCCTGGAGCACCCAGCTAGGATGCAGGAGACCTGGTTTTATGCCTCACTTTGCTGCTGGCATTCACATTTTATCATTACCTCCCTTTCAATACCTCAGTTTCCCTGTCTTTAAAATGGGATGATAGCTCTTGTCTCCTTTTATAATTTTTCTTAAGATACATGAGTGACAAGTGCTGTGTAAGAGCTAATTATAGCCGTTACTAAGACCTGTGTAGCAGTGTGAGACCAACCAGGATGCTAGTATCTTAGAAGCATTCTCATATGAGTTGCCTTATTATTCACCATTAAATCTTGTCTGTGATAATAATGTTCAAGACAATATGTAGTAAAAATGAGAAACCCCACAGCACATGGACATAGAGATTGCTCCTAACAGAGACTGCCTGTTCAGCAAACTATGTATGCTGTGTTATTTAGTGATTTCTGGAGGAGAGAGTAGTCCGGCTACTTTCAAGGTTGGAAGTAAATTTGGAAGTTGAACTCTTCTTTCATCCCTACAGATGGTTCCTGCTAGTGTGGGCTGAGGCACACTGGCTGAGCACCAAGCAGGAAGTCTGCGCCGCCAGTGCACGTGCTGTGGATAGGGGCCAGCACAGTTGAGGCATCTTCTTTCATCAGTGCTGAAATCAGTGTTTGAGTTGGATTTCATTTTGCAGTTTCCTTGGTAAGTCAGTGTGCTGAGGCTGAAGCAATGTGAGATCCTGCCTAATGACAGCATTTAATATTAGGGAGTGTAGCATGATAAATCAGATTCAGTGGGAGGGGCTTAACAAAGGGTTATAAATAACGTGTTATATATGGGCATTTTCTATTTAAATTTTCACAAAAGAATTGTAAGTCTTATAATGGTGTCTGTCAAGTAGAAGGGAGCGAGAGTATGTTACTTCTTTTTTAGATGCGATAGCCAATGCATTTTAAAATCTTGTCATAGCTCACAGTAATAGTGTGTGTGTATAAGCAAGTGGATAATACCTATGAGCTATCTCCAGATTTTTAGAAAAGTGAAAAAGACACATTAAAAGGTAAAAAAGATGCCAGAAGGCAAACTTTTAAAGTCAGCTAGCAGACACAGTGCTGACCTCACCTAATTCAATGCACAGTCCAGTGGTATTCCCTGGTTTTTGTTTTTGTTTTTTAACCTCAAGCTAGCTCATGCTTATGTATCAACCTACAGGCAAGTGAAGAAATTATCATGGGGACAAGCTCAGCAGTGAACCTACAGTGTACTCAGTACCCAGGGGTAACTCTGTGTGTGCATATCCTATGCCATGATAAATGTGAAGTAGTCCAAGGTAGCTTATTCCTCGATGAAAACAGAGTAAATCTCATTTACTCTGAGATCAAAGCATGTGAATAGGTGGACAGATATGACAGAGGAACTAGGGAGGTATTAATTTGAAATTTAGTACCCTCCATGGTGACTTGTTTGTATGTGCTTTTAGTAGTGAAGATCTTGTTTTAATACATACTGTCAGGTAAGCTAGCAGGGAATCGATACTTCACTGTGTGCGTTTTCAGCCTTGGACAGAGGAGAGAGTTGCAATCTGACCAGACTTCACAAAGATACTGTCTGTCTGCAGGTAGCTGGCAAATGGAGTTAAATTTAGTGGGAACACAACAGTACTGCCTAGTCTGGTGGTCCCACGTCTGTCATTCTCAAACAATGCATGGCCTGTGAGGCACCTTTAGCATTGATTATAGCTACAGAAAATTAAGGTTAAACCTAGTATTGCAGGGAGAATGAAGCATAAGGTTGCACAGGGTGTCTTTTGTCTTACATTGTTACCATATATGGCTCTGCTCAGAAACACTGAACGTGTGTTTGAAAAGCACAGTCCATTTATTGAAGAAAAAAAAAATCTGTTTTGAGGTTGATAGCATATAAGCAGTCAGATACAAACTGGAAAAAGAGTAACTGCGTTTGCACTAAAGGGGAATCTTTTCTCCACTGGGTCGAGTGAATTCTGCTGTTGCTCTTGGTCACAGATTAATGTAGTGGCTCACAGAATGTGTTCTGACAGGATGCTTGTTTTTGACAACCTTCATCTGATACGTCGGTGGTTTAGATAGCAACAAACTTGACAACATCCCTGTGACAAGAAGCGCTGCTTTTATTTATCTTTCTTGGCAGTATGGGCTAGGAGATTTGCCTTATGCCTTGGGCTTGGTGATGGGAGATACTGATCCAAGAGATTGCTCTGTGTCTAGTTCTAACCATGATGCCACATGTACCTCTGCCTTTGGCTCTGCTGACTTTCCTGCCACGCTAGGTTTTGTTGAGTGGAAGAATAACACAGGTTAAAGAAGGCATTTGTTCACTGTCTATTTGTTACTCACTGTAAATAGTTTGTTCAGTGACCTTGTTCTCTGAGCTCTGAAAGCCTCTCTCGTGTGAAGTGGGCTTTGAAGATTTAACTTCAGTTACTTCTCTGAGCTCCGGTATTCACAAAACCCTCAGCAACAGCAGGCTGTAAATGCATTTTATATTCCATGAAGGCTGCTCAGTGAAAGAAGCTGTTATCTTGACCGTTCAGAATGTACAATAGCTTCATGTAAGACATGTACAACATAGGAAATCCTGAGTACAAATGACCTCTTGGTGAATTGGGAGGATATCTTACCCAGTGGATTTTTCCTGTCTTTGCTGAACCCTGATAGAACTTGCAGGTATTTGAGAGGAGGATGCCAGGGAGCGAGAGGGAGTTGCCAGAGCACTGTAGTCTTTGTAGACTAGGTCAGAAGGACAGGCGGTGTTAATGTGTTGTGCTTTTTGGTGAAACTGTAGTGCGAATGTGTGTATGCTGTAAATGCCTGAGAGATGGGAAATCAGAAGGTGCTCTTGTTCCAAGGATTTAAGAGATGTAGCTTTTCTTCAGAGGTTCATAAGGAGTTATGGTCATAGTTACCACTAAGGCAGTGGATGATGAAGTTCAGGTAGGTAAAAATCAGTTATCCAGAGACACACAGCAAACTGGGACTTGTCAGCGTAGGGGGAACTTTCAAAATGAAGATTCTGACAGCGTTACTGCAGAATATCGGTTGTGGTTAAAGTTGCTTTTGATTTCATGATAATCACTGAGCCTTTAAAGCAGGAAATATTTGGGAGTCAAAG